GCAGTGGTGTTTTCACATCTGCCACCAACCCAGTTTGTCTGAATTTACGAACAATTTTTCCAATTACACTCTTGAAACTTTAATACGTTGTTTGATTGTTAATCTTTCCATGGCTGAAATTGCCAAAGACTTAAGTTGAAAAGAAAAAGAAAAAAAATCATTAGATGATTAAATTTAATTCACATTTAAAATTGGTCTAAGTTATTGGAACACCCTTTATAACACTTGTATTACTAAATCATTAATATCTGAAAAAGAAAAACTTTCTTACAATTTGAAAATATAATGTCTGAGATGAAACAAGTCTTATTGAGTTCCTCGGAATTATTGAACATAGAGATCAAACCATGTTTTTTGGTTCATGTGTTACAGCAGTGTTGACAATATGACAAGCTATGTGTCACCCAGCTAGGAATGTGCAGGTGATATAATAAAACTCAGCTGAGAATAAGAAATTGGAGAGGAGTTTGAATTCCAGTCAAGTTTGTTACATTCACTTAGCTGGAAATACCTGAAAGAAAGGTATTAATCCCCCTGCAAACAAAAATCATTGACACACATGTGGAAAAATCATTTTTGTTCTCACAAAATTGCTAATACAATACTCACTCGGCAAAAAAAAAAAAAAATTAAATCCAAAATATGTATTGGCTTTAAATATGGAAAATGTTCAGATCAGCTACATTAGAACGCAATGTGCCACATACACGCGTTTCCTTCATATTCCATTGGTAAGGAGGAAGTTTCAGTTATCGTTTGTTTTCCAGAACTGTTACATTACGGAACAGACTCCCAAGAAAATGCTTCTATGATCTTAACGACTTTAAATAAATGACAAAAATGGATAAGCCATAAAACAAGACAAAAACAAATCAATCAATACACAGAGCCATGTATGGCTGTCCATCTGCAAAATGTGTAGATCTTGTTCATCACTGATGAAAATGAACAGCCAATGGTAGTGGCTATGAAGAAAAAGTGTTTTGTAGATGAAAACCCTCTCTATTCAACAGTATCAGTCTGCTCACTGTATCTGTTGTCGTTTCCATGGAGATAATGTAGGAAGCATTATATTCAGAATGTCCTTCATTTGATTATAATGGCAAATATGCAATTGTTCTTTTTGTTTCTATAATACTCTAACTTTTGTTATGACAATGCACATTATTCAGAGACTTTGGCAGTTGAAGAATACATGTCATTTCTGCTAGGTATAAACAAAAATATGATGAAAGAAAGACGAATCAAGAATTAATAATAATAATAACGATGCTTAATCTAAGAAATGTAGAAAACTTGAGACTATTATAACAATTTTTCTAATCACCAATAAGCAAACTAGTGTCTTGGTGAATGGTTGTATTTTCAACGAAGCTCCTTGTCTCAAACATCTATGAAGACAAAAGCTTACACCAGACTTAACATAGAACTCATATATACGATCAATCACTAAAAATGCTGGAGAAATGGTCAGTACCTTGTACTGCTCCAGAAAGTACCTGACTTTGGCCATGCACTAGTTTTACCCATCAGATACCATGTAGCTCCTATTCAGCATCTGTCCTTGTGGTGCAGCCACCTTAACAACATGGAACACAGGCTCTCTCTTGGCTCTACAGAATCCTTCCCTCCTGGTTCCAGTGCTGCCTGAATCGCTTCCAAACAGCTGTTGGTCACTGTAGAGCCAACCTTCAGAAACGGGGATATACTATCAATGAGTATCCCAAGTGCCAATTCAGGCCATTAGAAACTACAGAACATCTTCTAGTTTGTCCTAATCTTGAAGATTCATGCACACTTAATGACCATGAAACCTTAACACGCCAGGCAAGGCTCTGGATGTCTGTAGTGTAGAAGACCAGTCAGATCAGACCAAACATGGAGTATTGTTGTCATATCTGGGCTTCAGCTACCCAGTCATCACTATGCAGACTTGACAGAGTTCAAAAGCATTTACCCAGCCTTGTAGGTAATGGTTTTCACATATGAACCCTTTTCCTACAGATATAGCATTGCTCACCTTAAACTACTCTCTTGGTAAATGTTCAGGTGAGCTTCATACACACGTTCCCTTCATATTTTTAGATATTGATTCATGTGTTACAGTGGTCTTAACAATGATATGACAAGCCATGTGTCACCCAGTTAGGGGATGTGCAGGGGGTACAATGGATCACAGTTCAGAATGAAAAATTGAAGAGCTGAGTTCAAATTCCAGTCACGTTTGTTACAGTTACTTATGCAGAAATACCTTAGGGAAAGGTATATTATACCCCCACTCCCCAAAAAATCATTGCCACATATCTGGAAAAATCATTTTTGATTTCACAAAATTGTTTATGCAATATTCAAATGCAAAAAAAAAAAAATATTCTTACAATCCAAAATATGTCTTGGCTTTAAATATAGAAAATGCTCAGATCAGCTAAATTAGAACCCAACATGCCACATACACATGTTCCTTTCATATTCCATTGGTAAGGAGGAAGTTTCAGTCATAATTTCTTTTCCAGAACTGTTTACATTGCAAAACAGACACCCAAGAAAATACTCCTATGATCTTAACATCTTTATGTCTATAGTAAACTGCTATCAATCCTACATATCCCTATAGTATACACTTCTTACTTCCTCTCTTTACCTCTTTACAACAACCTTATTCAGTTACCCTCTACCTTGAGTAGCTCTTGGGTCTTATATTGGGTGAACAATAGTATAAAAAGGTATAAACTATGGACAAAACTAGGATGTTTGTGCTCGCAAAAAACAGTGTTAAAATGATGGTTTATTTTAACAACCTTCACTCCTCAACAATGTTTCTTGTTTTAAAAATTGATGATTAGAATTGTAATAAAGCCTAAACATATGATTAAAGTGAATTAAAACATTTGCTTTGTCCTGAGAATTAATGACAAACATTATTTATTAGATTGTTTATTTACACTATTTATTTATTAAATTGTTTACTGGAATGGTTAGCAAAACCAACTGATTCAGTTGCCAATCGATTCAAACTTTATAAAATGGTAAATAATAAGGATTTCCTTGTAGTTGGTTCACATATTTTAATAATTTAGTAAATGAATATAAATCTATGAATAAAAAATTTTTAAATTATTTCTTTATAAATTGGTATATGATAAATATTGCATTGCATTTGTTTTAATACAATTGTATTAGTTTTTAGAATGTTGTAAATATAAAATTATTCTTGTAAATGAACAATCTAATAAATAGTGTTTAATATTTTGTAAATTCTCAAGAACAAAAAAGAAATGTATAAATTCACTTTCATCAAATGTTCAGGTTTTATTACAATTCTAATTATTGCTTTTTAAAATAATAAACATTGCTGAGGAGTGAAGGTAGTTAAAATAATAATGGTGTCAAGGGAAAAAACCTTTTGTCACTCCATTTTTTTTTTGTGGTCATGTTTGCCAAACTATATTTATTATTATTACTACTAGATATAAACAAAAAGCAGAAATATAATGAAAGAACAACAAGTTAAGAATTAATTATGACAAGGTTTCATTTAAGAAATTCTTTTGTCTATTATATCTGTTATTACTGTTACCTATAAACAAATAATATGAATACCATGAAAGAAATTAATAACAAGGCTTCATCTAAGAAATTCTTAAGCAAACTTAAGCCTAATAAATCTATTATTACTACTAGGTATAAACTGTGTTTGTTATTACTGCTATGAGTTATAAACTAGCAACAGAGAGAAACTTTCCAATATAAATAATGATAATGCTTCATCAAAGAATATTGAAATAATTAAAGCCATCATTCCTTTATTCAACTGAAAAAAACTTCTTAATCCATATCTACAACTATTTTATGTTTGTTGATTAAAGGTCTTTGGTAGCAGTATGACTTTCATGCGGCCTTGTATAAGTAATATACAACAGCCATCCTGCTGTTAAAAGAGAGGGGCTGACAAACACTGAAAAGAATGTGCCATGAAATAAAACTTCTAGAAAGTTAAGTTGCAATTCATCAGCAGGCAAAAAAACAGCAATAAAATTGGAAGATTAATTTGTTTTTTATGGCTTATGAGCCTTTTGAAGGTTATTTAAAGTCAGAAAATATTTTCAAATGCTAAGAATTTTAGAGAGGTAATAATGGTTTACTGACATAAGTCCTACTAATTAACCCAAAGCTGGGGAGAGAAGACATGGATTCATACCTTTCCAATGGGTATTTACACATAAGTGAATATAAGGAATTAGAACTGGGCTCTCTGTTTCCATTACCCATTACAGCAACTGCATAGAACCAGGTATTCACAAGTGGTCACCTATATACATTACAGTTCAACAGTTTGAAGCCTCCCCCAAAATCAGCTTGGGATGAACTTAACAGAAGAGTAAAAAAAAAAAAATGAAAAAGAGCTCTTAGAGTCATTGAAAAAAAAAATGGAATCAGTTATTAAACTTATACTTTGAGAAACTTTTGCAATGAACACCAAAAATATGTGCTGCAGTAATCAAGACTAAAGGAGGATATTTTGACAAGAGTAAAATTTAATCATAAAATGCTTCCTTTTTTATTTATTTTTTTTTTTTTTTGTCATAATATAATTTCTAATAAAAAAATCATGTCTCACATTTTTTAAACATGTATCATAATTTTCTCTTATTTAAAGTACAAATTAGTTACATTTTGAGACAATTTAAGAAATTACCTGGGGTCACCTCAAACTTTTGAACTGTAGTGTAGAAACTAACCAAGCTTGATGTTGCTTAACTTCATTTATCGTATGTCATATGGCTGTAAGCCATGAAAGAGAAGAAATCTCTATGTGAAATCAAGCTAATTCATTTACATTTTTACAAATCAAGTTTGGCTTATGGCCATGTCATGTTGAAACACTGTTAATCAATGTTAAGTCTGGTCAATACCACTTGGGAATATCAGGTGCTATAAGCTTGGATGTGTTGGTGGTGTAATGGATAAAGGCTCGGAGTTATTAATCGGAGAGCCGATTTTTCGTATGATCACCAAAGTTAAGCAATGGTGAGCCTGGTCAGTACCTAGATGGGTGACTGCTTGGGAATACCAGGTGCTGTAAGCTTGGATGTGTTGGTGGTGTAATGGTTACTGGCTCAGAATTGTTAATCAGTGAGCCCAGTTTCAATTCCCATCAGGTTCATTATATATACTTGTATGCAAATAGCAAATACATTTGGGAAAGGTATGAATCCACCTCTTCTACCTCCAGATATGGGTTAATTAGTAAGATTTATATCACTAAATTATTATTATATAAAAAAAGAAATTTACATTCTATTTTCTGTCTTTAAGGGTTAAGCTGTAAAAAAACAAATCGATCAAAACCAACAAATCAAGTTTTAACCAAGGGTGTATGTCGAAAATGGGATTAAAAAAGTTTATTCATAAGTCATGCAAGGGAGATAAATATAATGATGAAAAAATTGTGTTTACTTTCATCAACAATTTATCTTTCAACATAATCGCATTTCTTGTCAATGCACTTCATTCATTAGTGAAGAATACTCATCCAGATTAAACATTATATAATGAAAATTTCAGATCAAATTTCTGCTAAATTTACCATTGTGAATAGCAGCAAATAAATGCAAAGAGAATGTGTTTTAATTATTGCATCAGGCACAAATCCCATTACTACCCCTTCTTTTTAATTTTTTTATTTCTTTTTAGATTAACCTTAAGACAATTCAAGGCTCAAGACCCACTCAAGGTAGAAGGTTACTGTTAAAATGGTGTGATATGAATGTTTGGTTTGTTTTACAGCATATCAACCTCAATGGATTATTTAATGCTGATAAAATTTTTATTGCTGGTAATATATTTTTTTTCAAGATTATATTGCTGGTAATAATGTATTGCTGGTAATTTTTTTTTTTTCAAGATTGTATTGCTGGTAATAATGTATTGCTGGTAATTTTTTTTTTCAAGATTGTATTGCTGGTAATAGTGTATTGCTGGTAATATTTTGTTTTTCAAGATTGTATTGCTGATAATAATGTATTGCTGGTAATTTTTTTTTTTTTACAAAATATTTCTGGTATTAAAAATATTATTAACTATTTGCCCATAGCTGGGACCCTAACAGGTGCTACCACTCCAGGTCAGGGTGGACCTGGGAACATCAGCAATTAAGAGGTGGTTCCACACTCCTCAAAACCTTCTAATCAGAGACCTTGCTGTTAGATGTAGTTTATCATCTTACCCAGGATGCAGATGTAGTTTATCGTCATACCTAGGACGGGTGATATAAATGAAAGAGAAGTGAAGATTATGAAGATAAGAAGAATAGATAATGACTGAGCTTTGACTTGAAGGGGTTCAGTGCATCATGTTCTGAGATAAAATTTTTTTTTTTTAAGACGTACAAAGCTGATTCTTGCTCTTATAGGTCAAACAATTCAGATCTGACAGAAAAGTGAAGGTGTTTATTCCATGAGAGAATTTTTTTGATATTAACAAAACAGTCGAGAAAATTTTGGTTCTGTTTCGGACCTTTTGTCGGCTTTGCCCAATCTGGCAGAAAGACAAAATTCCTTTTATGTAAATCGATTTCAAATATTTTATTTCTGGCCATATTACACGCATCTGTAATCTGGCAAAGAATATTTAGCAAAAATCTAACAATTGATAAATAATCCTTGTTTACATATACTTTTTCATTTTGATTTTAACATTATTTTGATTTGTTATAATAAAATATTTGAAAAATATATAAATAAATAATATGAATGAATAAAATAATAATAATTATATATCGAAGCAATCTACAGGTCATAACCATAAATATATCTTACCTACTTACATACACTTCCTCCAACCACCGAACCAAATAAGCAAACTTGATCATCACCATAAATATCCCTCAGCATTAGCTCAAAGATAAAGAAAACTTGGAAGGGCTAATTTCCCAGTGACCTGCATATACAACCCACTAATGATGTAGTTCTTCGTCTGAGGAACACATTGAAGTGTGAAACTGACTATCATATATAGGCTTGATTCCTATGACCACACTGTCGGACATAAAATTGCAACTTTAAGTTATGCTGAGGCAATCATGAACACAGTTTGTGTGTGTGTGTGTGTGTGTGTGTGTGTGTGTGTGTAATACACACACACACACACACACACACATATTGGAGTCTCCCATCATTTCAACATATTTTTTTAATCCTTTCACCACCTCCCAAACAAGGCAATAAAGTCACTCACTCTCATATATATATATATATATATATATACACACACACACACACACACACATATATATATATATATATATATATATATATATATATATATTATACACACACATATATATACATAATATGATGGGTAACCATTTTATACAAGGTAACCAAAAAAGTTCTGTTTGTTTTTTAAAGGAAAAAAAGAAAATGCTTCACAGTATGTGTAACTTATATTTAGTCTTCGAAGTAATCACCATCGGCATCCAGCACCTTCTGCCAATGTGTCTGCAGCTGTTCAATGCCCTTGCGGTAAAACTCAGGGATTTTGACGCAAAGAAGTCCATGAGGGCTTTGCGCAAGTCTGCTTCATTGGTGAAGGATTTCCCATGAAGATGATTATCCAGGGAGTGGAAGAGGTGGTAATCGGATGGCGCAAGGTCAGATGAATAAGGTGGATGGCACAAAATCTCCCACCAAATTGCTGTATGGTATCCCTGACCACTCGCATGACATGCAGCCTGGTGTTGTCATGGAGGAAAAGCACACCTTTGTGATTCACTAGTGCTGGCTCCTTCTGGCGCAATGCCTGTTGCACACGTTTCAATTCCTGCGAGTATAAGTCTCAAGTGACCGTTTTGGCCCGTTGGTAGCAGTTCATAATGAACCACTTGACGACCTGTCCACCAGACACAAAGCATAATCTTGCGTGGGTGCATAAGCGGTCTTGCGGTGTGAGGGACAGCATCTTGCAAGTTCACCACACGTTAGACTACTGTCCACTTCAATGGCCACTTTCAGGACTCCGTCATTCAAGACCTGTGGTCATCCACTGTGAAGCTCATCATGGAGAAACAAATCTCCCGACTTGAATTTTCACAACCAATGCCTTGCAGTACGTTCATCTACAGCACTATCCCCAAAAGCTTGACATATGCGGCGACTTGATACAGCTGCTAATAAGCCCACTTTGAATTCGTAAAGCAAACAGCCCCAAAGGAAATCTCTAGACACTTCCATCCTTCTCACAGCTGTCTGGCTTATAACTGATGGCCGGGCATGGTGCACATGTTTTTTTATAACGTCTGATGTTCCTACTTCCAGCTGTCCAAATTTGAAAAGAATTGCTACATGCATTTCGTATATATTTCAACTTCATTTAATGACTAATCAAAAAACGGACAAAACTTTTTTGGTTACCGTGTATTTATATAATTTTGCATGTTGTTTGTTTTTTATTCTGTTGACTGCACAGTATAGTAGAGTCAGTTGGGCACCATCTCTGAGAAAAAGAGCACCATGACATAATTCATTATGCCAGAAATTTGGAAATAGCATGCCATACTTCTTGGCATTTGTGACGGAAGCGCTAATATGAACATTTCAGAGTGTTTGGGTGTCAATCTGAGGAGAGCGCAGGGGATTCGAAAACTGTTGGATGTGTCTAGTGGTGATTACAAAGGTGTTTGGAGTGATCACTAGTGATAGTGACGTTATGCCTCCATTCATCATCCCGCAAGGCCTCAGACAAAGCACAGAGGCCTATATCAAGTGCCTTGAGAAGGTAGTGCTTCCCTGGATTAAGAGGGTGGCTGCTGGAAGAAACTATACCTGGCAGCAGGACTCTGCACCATGCCACACAAGCTAGAGAACCATGTCATGGCTGTTAAACAATTTCTGTAGCTGCATCCCTCCTTACATCTGGCCAACTAACTCCCCAGTCTGCAACCCCCATATTCAACACCATCACTTGATAAGATACCAAAAGTGTTGAAACAAAATGGGTATTTTTGTAGTGATTTTATAACATATTTGTTATAATTTTCAAATAAATAATTATATATATGACAGTTTCCATATAGGAATACAGGAGGAATTCCTGTCAGGGAACACATATTTTCTACAAAATTTCTCAAACATTCAGACTGGTAAATATAAACAGAAAATATATTAAATAATTGTCATAGTTAATCCATTCCATTTCATTTTATCTATCTATATCTATATATATATATATATATATATATATATATATATATATATATATAATTTTCTTACATATATAGATCCATATCCTTGTCTTTATTATAACTTGCTCAGTGCATTCTTCATCCTTCTTGGGCTGTATAATTCATCCAGCTGAGATTTTTTTTCTAATTTATATTCTTCTAAATCTGGTTGTAAAATTCCTGCAGATAAATATTTCTTGAGTCAGATGGAATCGGATGTTATTCCATTTAATGAACTGAACCACACATTTGAATTCATGCTGTCTTTCTCAGCAATGAAAGGCTTAAATACTCATTTTTTTTCACTCTGTTGCACACACATCCCTACATTTCATGAACTTAATTAATAATTACCTTTCCTCTGTTACGATATCTAATAATTATATACAGATGAACTTCTCATCTACAGACCCCACCCACATCAATTGACTTCAGATGCAACAGACAAAATCTGCAGGCAAAATGAAAAAAATCTGCAGGAAAAAAAAACTCACAAATCGTCAGCGATGTACTTCAAAATTTGCAGGCTCATCAGAATGAGTCATTTTAATTCTCAAAGAGATCACTTGGCAGCAGTGGCAGGCCTTTCAATTGTAAACAAAGACAGGTGTACAGTATATAAAGTACAATACATTAGTGCGTACATGAGAGAGTAGCTGTGAGAAATATATTATTTTTGTTATTTTGTTTAATATATCTATATTAAGTATGTATTTATTTATTTATTTATTTATGCCATACATATATTTTTATAGTATTTACATTAGGATCATAACTACTGGTAGTTACTATAATGGTTTTATAACACAAAAGTAATCCCTTCCCATCTACAGGCAACTGACTTTAACAGTTTTCCTTATTGGC